ACACACACACACACACACACCGGACCTCTTACACATGTATCGAAACAACGAATGCATGCTATGTAACTTCCCTTTTTCGAAGCTTCAGGCTCAGCAGTTTCCATTTCCGCCACCGCCGCCGGCGGGGCACACAGTGCCGCAACTTGGCCGCCCTCCATGGCATCAGGGTTTTTCACGGCTGTATAGGGCTTGCAGGGCTTTTTTTACACCTTTTCTTGTCTAAAGTTTTAGTACAGGGATCGGGTTTGTAACGCAGGGGTTTCTAGGCACATTGGGGTTTAGGGATTACGGCTATTACATCAGGCGTCAGGCCCGAGCACTACTAGACTGCCATACAAGGCTTTCGAGAATCTGAGCTCTTTATGACAAGCAGCTGGAGCTTGTAGGGGCCTCAGGAAGCTGAAAAATACGCTTAATAGCAGACTAGGTACTGCAGCTCAAAGAATTACAAAGAGTTCCTTTAAAGGGAAACCTAGGGGGGTTTTAGGGTAGGGTTTAGGGACATACTTGCCCCTGTTCTGAAACCCAAAACCTTAAGCAAGCAGCGAGCCACCAGGCCGAAGGGAACTGGCCCCGGGCTGAGACGCCCGGGGAAAAGGTGGTGTAATGGAGGGCTCCCAAGTACTCTGGGTTCTGGGGATTTGTTTCTTGTAGAAGTGGTTTCGTGCTTTATAGGGTTGCTTAATGATGTTATTGCAGGCTTCGTTTGCGTGGACTTTCTAGGGCCGGTTTTAATCGGAATACAGGGGCCTGGAGTAAGGCTCTGGAGTTGACGGGTTGGCAGGTAGTTCAGAAGGTCATCCTTAGACTTTTCTGTGTGTATATAATATCCTACCGTCGTTTCAACCAGGCTAGCATAATTTGAGCCCGTAGGGCTATATGAGGCTTTAGTATTTAGGGACTTTGAAAATTAGGTTCCCCCCATGTTCCGAAACTCTGCTACCAGCCGAAGACCTTCACCGCGGGATCGAGGCTTTGAGTTTTTGTTGTAGGGCTCAAGGTTGAAGGTTTCAAGCCTTTTAGGGTTTGAAGCTGGGGCGTAGGGCCTTAGGGGTTTAGGTGTGAGAGTCTTTCAAGGCGTAGGGGTTCAAACCTTGACTGCAATGTAGCTTAAAGCACTTCGTTAACTCCTCTTTAATCCACCATTCAAGAAAGCACGACCTTAAGCCCAAACCCAAACCCGAGACCCTAATCCATGCCGCGCCCAAACACCTCAAATGCCATTCGTGATCCAGGGCTTACTCCTGCGCCCTGCAAGCCCTCATCCCTGAAGCGGCAAACCGCCAAAGCTCTGAACGCTGAAGCCCTGAGCTCCGAAGCTCCACACCCCCTGAAATAATCCTAAATCCTCACCCGCAGAAATCTCCCCGATTCCCTAGCTGGTTCCAGGCTTTACGGCGAAGGCATCGGGTGAGTCGAGCTAAGTCCTAGAAGCTCAGTTGCCTGTCTAGTCTGGGGTGTTAGTTACTGAAGGAGTTGAGGGATGCTGTATTATTAGATTATTAGGTTCGCTGTAGTCGGATATGAGAAGTGCGTCTGTTTGCAATATTTTTTATTTGATAATATGTCCAGGTGAGTCTATATTTATATAGATACACCTATCCGAGATACTATGCTAGGGCTTCTTGTTTAAAGGTTTCAAGCGTTGGCGGTGTTTTGGGCTTTAGTCACTTATGTACGTATGCATGATGTATGTATGTGCGTATGTATGTATGTACGGGGCAATACTTTGGGCATTACAGGTTTCAGGGCTTGAGGGACCAGTGGAGGGGTTTAGGTGAGGATACGTGGTTAGTCCTGTGATATGCTCCTCTGTTTCAAAGTTTCTGGTGACTTGCAGTCAGTTCTGCAAGCCGTTCTCCTGGGTTACTTTACCAGACTTTGGCTACATGTGCTGTGTTTTGCTGGGATTCTGCGGTGGGTCTAGGCTTTTGTAGTTCTTGGCTGCATTTCGGGTCACCAGCTAGAGCTTCTAGAGGGTGTTGGCGCTTGACGCTCCTGGGTGACGGTTTGAAGTTCAGGGGTTTACGGTTTTGGGTTCATGGCTTTCGGCTTTCCAGCTCATGCCGAAAGAACATCCGTGCGTTCCGTATGAGAGTCGAGTAGAAATCAAAGGGCGCATTCACACACACACACACACCCTTCTGAAAAAACCAGCCTAGTCTAGTTAATCAGCATGCTCGTCGCCTGAACCCTACCCTAGATGGATGTAGGATCCGCTGTCAGGGACAGCCAAGCAGTACGACATGATAGCATGGTCATTGTGCAGTGAGCCCTAACGACTACTCGCGATATGAAGATGATATGGCGTCACGACGGGTGCGATGACGGTCCTGCTTAATCGCAGCAAGGTGCAGCCATCTGGACATCTTCCATGCTATCTACTGCTTTAGCTAAGCCCTATTTCAGCACCTCCCCCTTCTACATTTGTTTCTTGCTTGTCTTGTTTCTATCTTTGTCTAGGTACACGCACACACAAGCACTGCACGCTTTGTCTCTCTCTCTCTCTCTCTCTTCTTCCCCGGCTGTCTCTCTCAACCGACAATCGCTATCTCTCTCTCTCTCTCTGGCTCGCTCTCTCCCCATCTCTTTCTCTCGCTGTCTCTGTCCCTCTTACACGAATTCCAAAATCCCGCCTCGCAACCTGCAGGGTGCAAAGGGAGGAGGGAAGCCACCACCACCACCTCTGAGCCAGGGCCTCAGTCCAAGACAAAGGGTTTAGGGTTCATGGTTTGGGGCGGGGGTTTAATTTGACTTAAAATCTAGACTCTAGACTTTAGGTTTAGGTGTGAGGATTTATAGGGTGTGGGGAGATGGGCTGTTTAGGGTTTCAGCTTTAGGCGATGCTTATATTATCATAACATACGCTGTTCTTTGGGTTTAGGGAAGCGGGCTAGGTCTTGTGGAGTCGACGCCTCGGGGTTTTGTTCTGGCAAACTTCAGAGCAGATCAACGCTGCGTCCAGGGTTTCGTTTACGTCTGATGGCAGACTTCAGTGTGAGCAGGACCCAACATGGCGTTTTGACAGCAAGTCGTAGATTCGCCGATATGGATGGTCTTGCTTCGCGGTCCAAGCTTGTGACGGCTTGTACAACATATGTCGCGATTCCCAGCTCACCTGCGAAACTCCGTCGTGGCCTGGACCGGACATCATCGCAGGTTCCGGCATTTCTTGTCAAACGTAAACCCTGTCAAGCCAGATTTTGGCTCCTTGTGCGGAACCCCCTTGGAGCTACCATCCGTGCAAGGCAAAGAGGCATTTCTGCAAAGCCTACCTGCCGACGAGCTGACAGGCCGGACACTCTCAAAATATTTGGGCCTGATTTAGGGCCGTTTAGGGCTTGACGGTTGGGTTTAGGGCTTGCAGTCTGACGGCTCTGAAGTTTTACGTGAAGTATATACGTGGTGGCTATGGGTTTCGGTGCGTGTAGTCGGAGCGCTGGCGACCCCAAGCTCTATGAGCTGAGCCCTGCATATTGCGCACGTTTTAACCCGAAGCCGCCCTGAAACCTGAACCCTAAACCCACGATCCCTTTGTATTCACCGTATCTCTTCACCATAAAATATTCAAAACTGTGTTCCAAAGGTGCCGCTTTCAAGTATAAACCCTCAACATTGATCCCGGCAGCATAAACCCTCCTCCCTGGAGCGTACAGCTGTAACACCCTAATCGACCCCTAGAATCTTCGATTTAGGGTTTAGGAGTTCAGGGTTTAGGGTTTAGGGGTATCCTGCAACCAAAATCCTTGTTCTAGTGAAGGCCCCTGCATAATTTCGGCTTTGCACTTGCTCCCATGGTCCGGAGTTGCATCGTAATTAATTACAGATCAAAGGCTCTGAAGGGCTTTGGGGGTATGGGATTTGGGGCATGATGACATGAGAGCATGTCACTGCAACCCCTCCTTAAAACGGGCTACTTACCTCAAGGGTTTCTGCAAGGGCTTCCGGGTTATCTCAAGGTTCGGATGACTCACTTCGACAGTCCCTTAGTCGTACAGTCCTGTAGTCCTGCAGTCAGACGATCATAATCAAGGCATGCTGCTGTCCCGAAGGGGTGCATAGATAACTGTACTACTTCAACAAAACATGGACTCTTTGTGCTGTGCATGACCTGCAGCCCTTCAGTCTTAGTTTTGCAGTGGCACAATCCTACTACGCCACTACGCGGTCGTGCGGTTTTGCCTTGATGGACTGGACATGGAGTCCATATGAAGAGACGCATCAACTCACTGTGTTATGGTTTGTCTCAGCTGCAAGTTGAGATTATGGTTGTTTTTTGGACATGCTGATATCCTGCTTTTCGCGCGGGTTCCTTCGCAGGCGACGAGGTCGCATTGCGCGAAGCTCTTCTATACTGGATTGAGACGTGGAGGCGGCTCTTGTTTGGGGATGTTTGAGGTTGGGTCTGACGTTTGGTGGGGGTTGTGTGATGCGCTGTAATTACATGTATGTGTTTGTGTGGGGGGTGTTAGTTATTTCGTATCTGAAGCCCTAAACCCGACAACTTTAAACACTGCAGTCACTGCAGAGTCTTACCAGAGAGCCCCCGAAGCAAATGGTGAAGCCCTTCGAAACCTTACAAGGACCCCAGGTAAAGAATCCCAGTCAAGATTCCTGTAATGTCCGAGACAGCGCTACAAAAGCCCTTCAAAACTCCATAAGAACCCTAGTTAAGACTCCTATAAACCCTAAACCGAAAGCCTTGCAAACAGCCTTTGGCCGGTGCTTGGCCCAAGATTTCTGAGCTGGTCTTGTTTCGAAGCGAAGGGCTTGGGCTGCTGTGGTCATTCTACAAAGGTTCCCTCAAGGACGATTATAAGCGTTCCTGTAGGGGCAATTATTTAGGGTTTAAGGTCCAGGGCTTAGGGTTCAGGCGTGAGGGTTTATCAAATGGTGACATGATCACCTACACCCTAGACCCCAAGCCCCAATCAAACGCCTAAAACGCCTACACCCTTAAACCCCAAGCAGTAACATTTTCCTTAGGCTGATTGTAGTACAAAGCCACCCGAAGAGCCCAGTCTACTTGTTTGTACCTTCCTGTACTAGGGGTTCTTGATTCGTATCGGGTGTTGGGTGGGGTTTAGAGTGTGCTGAAGGTTTTCTCGTCTTTTTCATTATACTATTTTGAGACTTTGTTGTAAGTAAGTGGCTTCTTTTTTATAGGACCTCTATTCAGGGTCTGTATTAGGGCCCATTTTTGTGAGCTGGAATTCCCATGTCAGTGCGGAGCCTTTTGGGATGTACTCAACGAAACCTCAACACTAGTAAACCTTTGTCATTCATCCTAAACCCTGAACCCCCCAAGGCCCGGCAGCGGCAAAGGGAAAGGCGGCAGTGCTGCACCTTTGGTCAGCGATGCCGCGACCTGAGGCTTCGTGCAGAAAACGGGTAATCTTCGCACAGAGAGCAAAGCCCTACATAGCAACCCTAAATCCTAAGCCCTAAAACCCTAAAAAACCCTGGAGTATCCCCTAGAATGGCAACCCTGATGCAAGTAGCAACCGAAAGTAACCCGTAAAGCAGGCCAGCTTCGACTTCCAAGGTCGCCGTGAACCCCCAAATCCTAAAGCTGCGGCAGAAGCTCCTGCCCACCACCGTCACTCTTCAGGACCGGCGTAGGCTTCAGGGTTCGGGTTTGGGGGTTTAGGGTTTGGGATTGGGGACTCGGCGGTATACGGGTATAGCAAATGAGACAGGATTTAGGACGTAGGCTTCGGGACTTGAGTCTAGGGCATACGGTTCAGGTTGAAGATTTAGAGTTTAGGGATCGGTTGGGCCTTGGAAGTAGGGTGGCAAGTAGGTCCTTATGGCTGTGGAGGGTTTCATTCGAGTTTTGCGGTTTTCAAGCAGGTCGTGTATCAGGAGGTTTAGGATATAATATACGGCTTACAGGTTTAAAGGTGTGGGGGTTTAGGATGCGGCTTGAAGAGCTTGCAGGGTTCTTAAATATTCCGGGTCCCCTGTTCGGAGTCCCTGTAAGTCCTAATACGAATGCTCCGATGCTTCTGGTTCATTGCAAGGGCCCCCATGTCTGAGAATCGCCCTCAGATTCAGCAGCACCCAATTTGCTTAAGATCTGTTGCACATATCGAGCCCTTTGTGTGCTATACCAGGATCAGAAAGTACCTTCACCCTCTAATTGCGTATAGCTAGTCCTGACATCCTAGTAGGAAAATTGGCAGTAACCCGACGCATGTAACCAGTCCTTATCGAATGATCATAACCCAAAAGCCCTTGAAACTCATGCAAGAAAGACTGCGTGCCTACTAAGCCACCCGGTCCTTTAAGTGCGATTTCCGTCGTGGTTTCTACTGGCAGCACTGCGCTGGCAGGTAAGTGCTCCTTCCGAAAGGCCTCGTACAGAGAAGTGCAATCAGGGTCTGGAGGTTCAGATTTTAGACGCTTTTAGTGTTTAAGGCTAGCCGTAAGACATAGGGTTACCGTCCGAGGTGCCGTCTTAGATTTTTCAAGAGCATCGAGACTGGCAGGAGTGGGTGGAAGCCAGGATAGGCGGCGAGATCGAGATACGAAGCAATCAGACGCACGGCGGCAGGGGCTACTGCCGGGAGTTTCGGGAATTATACGGATGTACAGTTTGCCAAAGTTCCTTCATACGGTATCTGCGGGTGTGCATAAATTTGCTGAAGCCGTTGTGATTATACACAGACGGCCATGGAAGTAGTACTTGCCCAAGAAGATTGTAAGGCCAGGGAACAGCCGTAATCCACGGATGGAAAGCATTGCTGCATTTGCGACTGGATCAGGGTTTAGGGTGTTTGGTGTGTCGGGTGTTGTGCTGAGAGTCCCTAAACCTCTCGCCATACACATCTTGGGTTTGCAGGTCAGATTGTGCGGTTTAGGGGTTTGCGGGCTGAAGGTTTGGAGGTGCGAAATGTATTTGTCCATCGAAGCTGTCACGATCTTGGAGCGGCATCAACAATTGCGACTTCTAGACGGCTGCAGGTGCCAGCTGAGCTGACGACAGTGTCTAAGACTTTACGGAGTCAGAATCAGTGCACATGTAACATACTCATAGGATTGTACGTATGTATGTGTGTGTGTATATATATATATATATGTAGACTTTATTATGGAATCGGGGCTTGTATGGGGTTGGGAAGCACTTTGTGAGTTTACAACTCTGGAATATGCTTTCAATCAGAAGACAATCAGAGCATTGACCCCCTAGCATGTAGGCTATATTCCTTACGTGAAGGGCATTGGGCTCTCTGAGAAGAAGACAGGTGTATGGGGTCGTGCACGGGGAGGCTATGGTTCTACGAGGGTCAGGGTAGGCAAAGGACTCACCTGCTGTCGTGATAGGGCGTACCATGTTTCAAAAATTGAGCTTGTTGGCTACCTTCTGCCAACCATATGTCAACTTTAAGCCTTGAAGCCTGCAGAGCAATTCTTCCCGAAACTCCCAAAACCCACCTGCTGAACCCCTAACCCTCCGAGGCCATAAGCTAATCATTAGTCCTAATCCTACTTAGACATGTTCAGCTGCGAAGACTTGAGCACCAGCAGACGTCTAAGGAAGGGGCATCTCGAAATGTTGCTGCGGAGTCGGCGGCTCAGGGTTCCCAGGCGCCAGGCCCAAGGCTTGATTCGTGAGTCTTAGGATTTACGGTTTCGGCTTGGGGTTCAGGGCTTAGCCTTCTGATTAGGGGTTAGGTGAGATGGTGTACGGTCTGGGATGCAACAGCTTGCCAACGCAAGGGAATCTGCGACACATGCTGCTCGCCGGGTGTATCCCCACTGTCTGTGCTATTTGGTGCTGGACTCCTCAGAGCCCAGCCCATGCTCTAAATCCTGCAGCCCCTGTCTTGGACAGGGACAGTGCAGCCCCAGGTTCTGCACGCCCTTGGCCCCGAGCCCTTCCATCGATTTGCGGTTTAGGAGTTTAGGGTTTGAGGCTCAGGGCTTTGAGGGTTTAGCGAGCTTAGAGACAAGAACGTGGCCAGAAGGGCCCATAAGGTTAACGTTCGAGATCAGTTCGAGAGGCCAGAAACTGCAACAAGGACGAAACAAGCTGCTACTGTAAAAGGTTGATGCTAGAGTTTCTAGAACCGCCAGAGGAGATGATTGAGATGATGAGCGGCTAGAGACTTAAACAGACACATCCATGAACATATGTGTATATATATATATATATACACATACACATATCTGTATATGTATATATCTATATATTCATTCATGCAGAAACATGCACAAGCACACAAGCTAATGCGGACATGCACACAGATACACAGATTTGCAGACATCGACAGGTCCGGCAGAAGGTGCAGAGCCTGAACCAGCGCAGGACCACGGTGTATGTTTCGGGAGTTTGAGACGTGCGGCCTAAACTGTAGTGTGGAGTTTCAGGATGTTTCAGGCTCAGTTGATTTGGGGGTTTAAATTAAAGGTTCGTAGTCCAGGTCTCCGCTTTTGCGGGATTCGGCGTTTACGTACGGGCTTCTTGACTACAGTGGCAATGCTCAGGGGGTCCGTATTGCATTTGCCGTCAAGTTTTACCTCAAAACCTGTTCAAACTATTATGCGTCTACAACATTCATATTCTGTTTGAGCATCAAATTGGTCATGCTTTCACATATTCAGCATGGTTTATAAGTCTATTCCGGAAGGTCACATCTTCACCCTGAATCTCCTTGTAGAGCGCTTTATAGGACCGTGTACAGAACCCTGATACTAGCCCTTATTATAGCACTTTTTTACTGGTATGCGGCTCTTCATCCACAACGGCCCGGCGAGCAGGGTCAAATTTCAAGTCTCCTGCCTATCCTGATTCGATATCTGGCCCTCGAGGCGGACCCCTGTGTGTACAACTCAAAGGGCAGGCCTTGAAAGCGAAAGACGCCAGTTGGTGCAGGACGCCAGCGCAATCTTGGATGAGCTGCCGCAAGATGCGCTGACCGAGGAGGCCGTACCTGGGGTTCAGGGTTTCGAGTTTGGGTCGGATTGTCGGGATGTGTATAGTTTAAAGTCTGCAATTGGAGGAACGCCTCGACGTCCTAAGTCCGGAACCCCAAGAGACCCCAACGTTCGAACCTCACAGATCCTCAGGGTCAAGATCCTGACTGAGGTTGGCCGAAGCCTCCCAAAGACAAGCGCAGAGACCAAGAGAATCCCTGCGTCCTCTTGATCTCGAGTTTTTTGCTTCCTTGGAACAGAGACACGCACTCGGGCCATTCCTACTCCCCGCTCCACAGATGGTTCCCATCCCCGTACCTGTTAATGGCGCATTGGGCGGCCCGGGATCTCTGAAGCCGCACTTTTCCGCGTGTGTTTAAGGTAAGGAGGGCCTTAACTCCCAGCATGTTAACACATTCTGTGCCAACACCCGAACACCCTAATAACACCCTATAAAGTACCCTTATAGCAACCCTTACAGGAACCCTTACAGGAACCCTTACAGGAACCCTTACAGGAGCCCTTAAAGGAGCCCTTCAAGGAGCCCTTACAGGAGCCCTTAAAGGAGCCCCTTTAAAGAATCCCGAAGCTGCAGAGCAAGCCGGCATCCCTGAGAGCAGGAGCTCGAGCTCAGGGAGAAAGTCTCAGCCCCGGAGTGTCGGTTTTTGGAGACTTAGGGGCTCTAGGGGCTCTAGGGGCTTTAGGGGCTTTGGGGCTTTAGGGGCTTTAGGGGTTTATGGGGTCTAGGCTTTAGGGGCGCGCCGGCCCACACAGCACGGGTTAGGGATGACACCATGACAACAGTACATTGGTAACCATAGTCTTTTGCTGTGATGGCACCCGTCTTTTAATAGCAGAAATGGCTTGCGACAGTGCCAATAAAAGACCGTGTGCTTCATGCTACCTCTACTCTGAAATGCACTGTGACATATGCTGCTCCTAAACCACCCGAAAGTAGGCAAAATAATGGCCCAGCACTTACAAAAGCCGGTTCTTCTACTTGCGGTTGCCGTCCAGGTAGGGCAACATCCCAGATGTTGGTGCTCGAAGTAGGTCATGGGTAAATCGATGCCAGATTCTCGATAGCTGTATAACTTGACTTAAACATCTTCATGTGTTGTGACTTACGACTGTTTGCCACTGTGATAGCACTGAGCCACGGGCCAGTCGTACACGACACGGTTCACTCTAGCATACCACCCAGTGCTTTGTGGTGTGCTGTGCTGGAGCTACTTGGCTTCCATTGTAGTGGCGGAGCCTAGAAATACAGAGTCCTGGTGAGTGACTAGCAAAATCATTCCTCAGGGTTCCTGATATGCGCCCCAAACTCATTTCAAATGGGTAAGCCCCTAGAAACACAGTCTTCTGATGTCTTGTGCTCTACGTGCGTGTCTATTTTACTCTCACCAGCTGATGCTACTCTGTGATAGCTTGTACTCTTCGTGACCTTTCACTGGCAACATATTGGAGTTGAGGGTTTAGGGTTGGGGTTCCTACGATCCTTACGAGACCCTTTGAAAACCATGTTCAATCCTTAATTACCATGCGGAAACCGAGGTGCTGGAATTGGTGTCGTCAAGTCCAATGCCTTTGCGGCACGTGAGCGTTTGCCTTAAGTTTACAAAAAGGATTACTCTCAGGGTTACTATAAGCATTTCGGTCATGTTGTCTGGCTCTGTTACGGAGAATGAAAGCCACACAGGCTTAAAATGAGGTTTGCGGGGTTTAGGGACGCCGACCCAGTCCGGGTTCGGTATTAGACGCTGAAGTCTTTGGCTCGGGGTGTGCTGATTTGAGGGTTTTCGGGTGTTGGGGCTTCAGGGTTCTACCGCCCTAGTGTTTTGTGTTGTCAGTGTTTTAGGAGTTTGGGGTCAGTCTGCAGTCTACAGAATTACTGGGAGACCCTTGCCGGATACTACAGATGCCAAAGGAGCCAGCTTGGTTGTGAGCCCATGCAGAGCGCAGGTTCCAGATTCGGAACTGCGTAGCAGGAAGGATGGGAGGCCATGAACTCCAGAAGTCTGCGTGTGCAGTGCCGGAAACAGCAGTATAAGTACACGCATCTTGACTGCTAGGATTCTAGGTCTTCGCCTCACATCCTATGTCCTGCTTGTTTCGTCTAGCCCGGTCAAAAGCACCCATGCACAGCGAGGTCACACCCCGAAGGTGCTGACGCTCAAGCGGAAGTTTCTTCCGGATGAGGTGGCTTTAGGGTTCAGCGCTTTCTCAAGGGTTTATGCTTGAGAGTTCGAGTTTAGGCCTTAGGGTTTCAGTAGGGTTTAGGGTTCATGGTTCGGGTTCCAGGGTTTAGGCGTATAGAGTTTAGGGTTTATGTTTAGGGTTTGGGTTTTTTTGTGTTGTAGGACAGCTTAATCCCTAAACTTAGTATAGAACCTTTAACCCAGAACCCTCTATAATTTTTAAAGCTTCAAGCGTCAAAACCCTAAACCTTTCTAAACCCTACTAGAAACCCTATAAGCCCTATATACCTGAGGACTCCGGTGGTGGGAAAGGCGGGAATCCTTTTACTTAAAGCCCTATATACCCTAAACCCTATAAACCCTAAACCCAAAATCCCGAACCCAAAAACCTCGACCGGCTCTCCGCGGAGGTGCCACTGCGTGATTGGATAGACCGCCGAATCGGTGCTGAGGACTGGCATCAGGGTTCCCGCAGGGTTTCTGTAAGCTGGCTGTATGTATTCTAGAAGGTGTTGATAAGGTTTCGAAAATCCCTTCAACAGGGTTTAAGGGTCTTGGACTTATTAACAGGTTGATGTAGGGATGGTTTTAAAGGCTTATGCAGGGTGCCGAAGGTTTAGGATCGAATCTTGAAACCAGGTTTGTGGCTTCGGTGTGGCAGCTAGGAAGAGCGCTCCTTGCGCTTTGCCGCGGTTCTGGAGGAGCAGGCGCGCATGCTGCGAGAGCTCCATGCAAAGGCGGAGGAGGACATCACCCGGAGGCGAGCGCTCTGGGAGCAAGAGCGGGAGCAGAGAGAGCGCGAGGCGCTGGCCCTTCAGAGGAGGTTTGAGGAGGAGGAGGAGGAGCGTGAGGAGCGCCGACGCAGGCGGGACGAGGACGAGCGCCGTGAGCGGCGGGAGCAGGAGCGGGAGCGCCGTGACCGGCGGGAGGCAAGGGGCTCTGGTGATGACCGGCCCCGGCGCGACTACCGCGAGCGGCGCGATGATCGGCGCGATGATCGCGGCTACAGCAGTGCAGCTGGACGGCTTATTTGTTTTTTGGTTTAAGTTTTAAGTTTTAAACTATAATAGATAATGGTTTAGTTTGCTTTATGTATGTTTGTTAATTTCTTATGTTTCTATAACAGAAATAAATAGTTTGTGGTTTGGTGTGCATGTTCTTGCAGCAGCTCAGGCTTCCTCGGACCGGCGCCATGACTACGGCGGGAAGGGTGCAGGGAGGAGCTCTGCAGGGAGGGGCGCGCGGCCGCCGATGGACCCGAATCGGGGTGGAGCCCAGTCCAAGGTGAGCATGCTTATCAATGCTCACCGGACGAGTGGCTGGAATCGGGAGCTCTGGGAGCTGGGAGAGCAGATGATGCAGTCTTTGGATGAGCGCCGTGACGCTATAGAGCCCGGTTCGTGGGCTGACAAATTGTTTCAGCTCTGCCATGCAATTCTTGAGGAGAGGAGCGAGGAACGCTTTAGGGAGCTGGCGGAGCGCTATATGGGCGCTGACTCGTTGCGCCAGGCGGTGAACAACAGGTACTGGCAGTCCTGGCGCCGGGGCGGGTACGAGCGCTAGGCGCTGGTGGCGACTGGGCGCATGCCGCCGTTCAGTGGGCGCTTGACGCCGGGCCAATGGGCGCTTGACGCCGGTAGGTGTAGGAGCTTCTCACAGCTGCCAGCAGCACGCACATGCGGCCCGGTTGTAGGGTTTAAACCCTATATGTATACATGAGAAATAATAAATTAGGTTAGGTTATGTACGTACATATAAACTAGTTTAGAAAGGGCTGCATGTGTGTGCCGTGACGGCAGTACAGAAGTGGGCATGCCTCGTCCACCGACAAAAAGAGTGTGAGTGAGTGTTACGTGTATGTACGTTATTAATATATCATTATGATATATAGCACCTAAACTACACAAATCACGCCGATTCGCAACTAAACCATAAACTCTGAACCCTGAACCCTAAACCTTAAACCTTATATAGTGTTTATTGCACAACATATATCATGTAGACTTTGTGTAATTGATATGCAGCATAAACCAAATTTTGATTGTTCCGCTGATGGAATACCGTGGTGCTTATAATGATGGTTTATGGTTTAGGGTTTAAGGGTTTAGGGTTTAGGGGTTTAGGGGGCTGGGGGCTGGGGGCTAGGGGCTGGGGGCTGCTGGGGTCAGGTGATGATGAAATGTTGCGTTATAATGGGTGGAGATTTGTGTTTCGGGACTGTATAGGTGTGCTTTGGTGGTGCTTCATGTAATGATTTGTGACATGAGCCAAATATTCAGAATTTATAAACATAAATTCTGATTTATTTTTTTGAAATTCAGAATTTATAAATATAAATTGTGATTTAATTTTTGGAAATTCAGAATTTACAAATATAAATTGTGATTTAATTTTTGGAAATTCCGAATTTATAAATATAAATTCTGATTTTTTTTGAAATTCGGAATTTATAAATATAAATTCTGATTTATTTTTTTGAAATTCAGAATTTATAAATATAAATTCTGATTTAATTTTTGAAGTTCAAGATCTACACATACAAATTGTGATTTTTGCTACCCATCACTGAAATCAGCACCGAACAGCACCACCCAGCCCGCCCCGCCGGCCCCAGCCCCTCCCGCCCACACACACCCAACCCAACCTCCATGCGCTGGACCGTCCCGTGAGCCTAAGGTCCTAAACCACAGGCCCCAGACGCCACAAGCCCAATCCCAGGACCCAGATCTCCAAACCTCAAGCCCGACACCCCAAACCCAAGCCTTCGACCTTCTGGAGCCCTCAGATAAGCCTTTGTAGACCCCAAGAACTCTTTGTAGCACCCTCGAAACCCTGATGCAAGACTCCGGAGGTTGAGGTAACGGAGGACGAGCAGGTGCGATCCCGCAATGCTGCTGAGGAGGACCGTCTGTCTTCGGATTGTAGAGCTTAGGGCGTAGGTGTTCTGAGCCGTAAACCCCACACTCCGAAAGTTACAGAACCCAAACTGGACCAAACCCGCGAATCCTGACGCCTAAATCACGAAGTTGTAGGACTTGGGCACATGGACCGCTTGTCGGTGGGGGAATGTCCAGACCGCGAGCCCTAAACTCTGAAGAGCCACAAAGTCAAAGACATAGAATTGTAAACCCTGTAACCTGCCCATGAACCCTAAAGAGCTTCCGCACACCTGAAAGCAAGAGCCCTAAGAAGCCCCAAGCAGCGCTGAAATTGCAGGGCACAGCCCTTTGCGTAGAACTGCAGAGCTATCCTCCAAGTCCGTCTGATGTGACGAGCTCGAACAAAAGATGTCCCAGAACTCAGAGTTCAGGAAATGTTATATTTAGCAGTATACTGAAATAATGAGCTTATTAGTGACGGTATCCCGCTATACTTTCCATGGTACGATGGGTGACCCACAGGTATAGTGCGGTGCTCTTTGTCATCTTGAAGGTCTAGTGGCCGTTCTGCGAAGACGGCGTAGTGTCCCTGAAAATGCTTCCGAAATCCCTAAACCCGCAACCCCAAAAAACTCCCAAACGTTTCGGGGTTTAGGGTTGAGGGTTAGCTTCTTAAACCCTAACTCTCACGAAGGGATGTCGTTTTCGCATCGCAGGAGGAGCCTCCTCCTGAGGAGTCACCTCCACGCCAGGGCTTCTGTTTCTTCTGGCGTGGGTTTTTTTAGGATTCAGGGATTGCCCGGAATCTAAACAGCCTACTTTTTTACGGACTTAGACAAGGAAATCACAACAAGGAACCCTGGAAAAGTACTCGTAGGTTCTGTAGGGTGTAGGTTTGTGGGTTAGGACTCTGGCGTTTGCCGTGCAGGGGCGCAGATCTTGGAGGATTTGACCTCGGCTAGCTTGCAGTGACAAATGCGCTCTGAACCTTCAGCCCCAAGAAGGGACTCCGTGGGGGCCTTGTAGTACGGCTTTTAATGCCTGCCTGCCTAAACCCTAAACCCTCCCCCTAAACCCTAAACACAAGTGGAATCGGTCGTTGTGTCCGATTGTTTGGTTTCGGGCTTAAGGCTTTAGGGGGCAGGCGGGTTAGGGTTTAGGGGTTTAGGGGTTTCGGGTTGAGGGCTTAGGGCTTAGGGTTTAGGGCTTAGGGTTGAGGGTTTAGGGCGGTAGGATGTCTGCCTGCCTGCCTGCCTGCCTGCTGCCTGGGTTTAGGGTTTAGGGTTTAGGGTCTAGGGCTCTAGTGCTTCGGGTTTACTTAGGGTCTAGGGCTTAGGGTTTACGGTTTAGGGTTTACGGCTTAGGGCTTGGGGCTTGCCTGCCCAGGCACGCCTCATCCAGGCTTTCGAAGCCCAGACTCAGGCAGTCCGGGAGCAGACAGCCCTGCTGCAGTGCTTAAGCCTTAAGGTTTATATTCTGCTTTTGGGTCCCTGAATTCTTAAACTCCCGATGCAGGTTCTGTCCTTAAGAACACCCGATAGCTGCGTGCACAAGCCTGGCGAGATAAGAACGACTCAATGTCCAAGTGCTTCGTGTACCACTTATATAGTGCGTTTGAGCAGAAATTTCTAAACAAAGCACTATGAACACGAAGATTGCTTGGATTCTCCCGGAGCGAAGTCCCCGAGACCCTAACCCAACCTCAGCTCTGTGCCCAGGCAACATGGCAAAAGGCAAAGGCAAAGGCAAGCCTGGCAAGGCTAAAGCCCAGAATGGCGACATCCCGCAAGGCCTCGTTGGCTTTCGGTTCTTGTTGGGGCCGGTGGTTCTGTTCCTATAATAGTATAGGAGGTGTGGCATACCATGTTTTGTTAGGTCTGGTTGGACATTGGGCCTTCGGTCTAATGACGGCTGTGTTGCGGTCTTCTGAAACTTCCTTGTCTCCTGGTCCTCCCGTGCATTTTTGCCTCGGTGTTGCGCCTTCCCTTCCTAGGTCTGACCTGGTCAGGATTTGGTCTCGCTTGCCGGGTTGAGGTGCAGGTTATTATCGGTGAATTACACGTTGAAGTCTTGGGAAACTGCACGATGCAGGCTCATGCTTTGCGGTAATCTGACGCGAAATTGCGCTGCCGAGTGATTCTGTGATTTCGAGCATTCCGCAACTCATTACCTTATCACCAAAGGTGGCGAATTCAAGGAAATCCCTTGATCCCCTTTTGGTTCAAAGGGTCCCGCAAGTTGCTATCTACCAATCATGCAACTCACAGTTCGCAAACTATCTCACATTGGCACCCTTGAATTATATTTCTAAGGGCTAGGTCGCCACCAAATCCTGAGGGGGTCGGATGTATTGAATCTAGGGTTATGAAACACTGGTCCCACCCAAGCCCTGAACCCAAAGCCCAACCACACCCAAGCCCTCACACTTCCGTCGGCTTTACCGCCGCTGTAGCCTTATAGCCCTAAAAGCCCAAAGCTTCCATTGTCGTCCAGACCACCAGCGGACGACGGAAAGCTTCTTCCAGAGTCTCCCAGTGGAGTACCTCACAGACGGCGAGGCCAGGCCTTAGGGGCAGACTGGTGCTTTTCAGCTTTATGGTGTATTGTCCTATACAGTGGCGTTTAGGATGACGCTGTAGAGGCTTGTATAGCAGGCTGTGAGTTTAGGGCTGAAATTTGGGTTTTGGTTGAAGGGTTGAACGTTTGTTCCATCGATGCTCTGGTCGTTTCTTGGCGCCGTCGCTGTTGTGTTTGTTGTTGCTGCTCCTGCTGCTGGCTGGAACAGGCGATGTTGCTTCTTCCTTTTGCGGAGTTTGTGTCAGCTGTCAGCTGCACAAGGGTTCAATGCATGCTTTCTATCTGCCCTGAGAATGCCCTGAGCCGACTGGACTCGCTTAGACCAGATAGCTGGCTGGCTCGCGTTCCATCCTAGCCTCCTTCCCGAATAACACTTCTGTAGTTGCACCGTAAACCTTTACCGAAGAACACCAAAACACTAGTTTGACTTAAATGTTTGACTCTAGTGCATCGGTTTCGTCAGCCTTGCCAGGAGGAACTTCGTGATGCCATTCTGACCTTCATCACTGAACACTGGACCGGCGAGGTGCGCTGCGTTTAATGCGGACGGAACTGCAATAAGATCAATGGAGGGCGTCGTTGTCTTGGGAGGGGATGCTGTGGACGCCTTCTGCTTCACTGCTTCACCATGAACACTTGAGTTGTCGACTTAGTGACAGCTGCAGTGCTGATGATAGTTTGCGGATTGTCTCCGTCTTCATTCTCATGTTGGTATATGTTGGCAGGGTTAGTATCATATCAGTTTGAAGTGTTCCATTGCCACATCGGACTTGCTTGATTTGTATTACTGCTGCTCCCCATCGTTGCTGCATGACCAGGGCCACCATTGGGACCGCCATGATTTCAAGTCCCAAGCTATCGCTACTGCTGCATCAGCTTTACCAGCACTGTATAGTGTTTGTTTGCCGCCATTGCTTTCGTTGCCTGAGATGAGCTGCTTGCATCCGCATTGCGACTACCACTACCGCGACGACGACTACTACTCCTCATGCTCCCTCTCCTCCCCCTCGTACTACGACGACGACTACGACGACGACTACTACGACTACTACTACTGCTACCACTACTCCAGCCACTACTAGTACTAGTACTAGTACTACTACTACTGCTACCACTACTCCAGCCACTACTAGTACGAGTACTAGTACTAGTACTTGTACTAGTTCTTGTACTCGTACTTCTACTACTACTACTAGTACTAGTACTACTACTACTACTACTACTACTACTACTACTACTCCTACTACTACTACTACTACTACTACTACTGCTGGTCTCGGCTGGAGCCAAGCAACAGGTAGAGGAGTCTCACTGAGGTGCCATGGTAAGCTTTTTGC